GGGGGGGAAAAAACCTCTTTCATCTTTTTTGTTGCCTTCTTTTTGTGAAAAAATCACTTAAAATAACCAATACACATAGTAATGATTCTATCAGAGGACACTTCATCTGACAACTAGAGACTACCAGGGATGTTAAAAGAGGAAGGCATGACTTCTTGTATTATGTCATTAACAACAAAGAAAGATAAACCAGCTAAAGCAAACAAGTTTCTACTCATCTGGAAAGCTCATCCTGCTCTCAGAATATTCAGTTTATGGAACCATATCCTCAGATTTGAGGGAAACTTACCATGAGAACTTTATCCATGTAGAATTCCCTTCCAGGGCTTCCATCATTGTATTTTGTATCAACAGCGAAACATAAGAAGAGGACATCAACAACCATTTCGTAAATGGAAAGGAAGCAGTGAGCAACCAGGAAAGCAAACAGGCAGACAATGATGAGAGGCAGCACCCAGATGGTGTAATCTCGTTGATAGTTCAGCAACATAATCCCTGCCAGACCTGTACTACAGACAATCAGGACCTGAAGAAGAAAACAGAAAACAATTCTAGTGAAAACTGTAATATCAGAAGCACTTTACATACACTACATACCAATCTATAATGTTCCAGAACTAGTATATGTGCCTGTGGCTGTAGCGGATGTTTCACYGAGTACCATTTCGCTCTTTTAATCTGACAAAGAGACTAAAACAATTGCTGACCATTCATCACTTTGAACATTTCCTGAACCTTTTATTACCAAAACCATCAAAATGCAAAATGCACCAGTTTCACTCTAGTATGAAAGTTGGATTGGACTGGAGGAACAATGTGGCTTGCAGACTGATTACTGTTTAGTTAACTTTTGGTATGCTACATTCTTCATTTAAAGAATTCTGTCAGCCTTTTATTTCTCTAATAATTTGAAAGCCATCTTTTTAGGGATATATTTCTGCATTACACATTTCATCATCTGCCAGGCATTGTGGTTTTTGTTTGTGTTATTATTATGTGTTTTTCCCCAAATTCCATTGATTTCATTACTGGATAAGAAGTTTAGTCCATAGTGGTCTGATTTAATAGAAGTGTATGAACAAAGGAAGGAAGAGTTTTCAGTCCAAGCAGTGTTTAAACGCTTCAAGATGGGTGATTCGGTCTACTGGTATTAAGTATTTCAGTAACTCCTCCTTCAGGAAAAAATATTTTACTGCATAAAAATAACTTGTTGTTTTCTTAAGGTACATTTCCATCAGATGGAAATCAAAAAAGCTGACTGGTCACAACAATTACTCTACTCACCTTTTAGCTCTCAAAGGTAACTAAGTTCCCTGAGTTGACAGATGCTCAGAGCAGAATCTTGCAATATCTGCCAGTCCAATTTTGTCAATAATGTGCTAATTTTATTTAAAACTGTTACTAAACAGAATTTTGAGGAAATGTCCCCTTTCCATAATTTTTTAGCTTTTTAACCACAAATCCAATCAAAAAGTCTAAACTCTGTTCACTTGTCTCTTGACACTCTAAAAATAAAAATATGAAAAAAAAAAAGAAGTCCCCCAAATGTGTCAGCATCTAAAGCTCTTATTCTGATCAGTTTTACTTAACATAGGCAGATGCTTATCTTCCACTTTCCTGGATGGTCCCTTCCTGACAGGATGCAATKGGGAATGACAAAACTCTCTCCTAGGTGAGATTAACTCGCAGGCAGTTTGCATCTCAGATGCAAGCCATTATGAATCGAAGCTTGTTGCTTGCATAAAAACAAAAGCAAAGACACTGTCTCCCTCAAGTCCCTCCTTTCCCCCAGAAAAATAACTGAAAAACAGAACAAACACAATCCCCCAAAACCCATACCCTGGACATACCAAGGCCCCTAGCAGCAGTCATACCTTTCCTAAGAAGAGCATGAAATCTCCCACCGTGTTTATGGCAGCCACTCGCAACGCGTTCTCCACTAGAATGACAAAAGCATCCTTTGCTGAGGTGCAGAAGTTGGTACTGTTGATAGCTGTGGCTGTATATGCGTTCTAGGAGAAGGAAAATGAAGCCTTAATTACAGATTGATCAGATGTTTCAGACCTTACACTCCAGAGTTTCTGATCAATATCGTTTAGGAGGGGATTTCAGAGAGCCACACACCCCTTCCATAACAGGAAGTTATGTTCCATAGCAGTAGGTTTAACAACAGACTTAGCTACTTGACCAGATGATGTCATTAATTTCTGCATAATACACTCTTCCTTAGAGATTAAAAAAAAGTTAATAGTAGCAGTCTGAGAAAAGGTTTCACGGGGTTTTATGAGGGGAGAAGAGAGGGAGAGGAATAAACTTTATATTTTGAATAGATGACAGGAAGCTACATGACCTACTAGCATACAACCTACCACTTACTACCCCACAACACGACACAGTAAGTCATGTTATTAATGCAGAATCCCTTGAGAGCTGCTAAGTCAAGCAGTATGGGCCATCAGACAGAGGAGTGTATTAGGTACAGTAACCATTCTTGTTCACTCTTCATTTACACATTAAAAAGTTAATTTCAAGAAAACTAATTAAAATAGAATTTACTATTTCTCTGCAGAAGTAGGAGGTAGGCAGCCACATTACTACAGCAATCAGGAGTTAGAAAGAATAATCTAGATATGTAAAGCAATTTGATAGTCATGTAAGAATCTTCATATGTTTCACTATTTCTATTTCTGCTTCAATACACTTCCAATTTTGTCTAAAATCATTGAACAGTAATGTCAAGGTAAGCTAGGACAATGCTCAATGATTACATGCACTTTTTTAATGTTCCCTCCTTATTTTACTGCAAAACATATTTTTGTAATTTGGAGCGTTGGTAAGATTCAGTGAGGCTCAGAAGGGAGTCTAATCACATAAATCCATTAATATATAAGCAATAGCAAGACTTAAAACCTTTCATCTTCTTTGGGCAAAGTTACTTCCAAAAAAAATCTTAAAGTTTTATAAATAGTAGCTATCCTCTGACCAAAAGAAAAGTGCTCCTGTTAACCAAAATCTTTGGGTAAACAAGCACTAAAGGTTATAAAATTATATTAAGGATATATAAAAAATAAAATATATATAATATATATTTTGGAAATAAATATATTTATTTCATATATATTTACTTTATTTTTGTATTTTTATTATATATATTTATACATTTATTATTTTATATATATTTATTTGGAAATATATATATAGGAAATATATATATGTGTGTGTGTGTATATATATGTGTGTGTGTGTATATACATATATATATATAAAAAGAACAAAATATTTGTTTTTATTTCCAAAAGCAAAAAATGGAGCAACGGAAAAAGGGAGGTACAGGATATATATTTAACACAGGTGGAAACCCAGGCTAAAAAATATTATTGTCAGGGTCTGATTAGTCATCATGTCAACTATTACAGCAACTATTACTACAGAAAAGGTTCCCTGTCAAGTCCTAGCAAATGATTTTCAAAAACAGATGTACCTGGAAGAGCAGGTATAAGGAAGAACATCACTGATTATTTAAAAATTAAGTTGTGATGTTGAGACATTTTATGCACAAAAAGGAATCCTGATAATTTTTCACCTTCAGATTGTAAATGAGCACCAGTGCAGGGTGACTTGCAGTGTAATTTCAGTAATGGAGACAAGACTGAAATATCTTGATTCAGATCAGTCAAATTCCAAAGTACAATACATTATGTGTCAGCCTCAGACTGCATTCTGGGAATTGCACATAACATCAGCCTTCTACACATAAATATTGAAAATCTTACCTGATTTAAGTAGGTCAGGCACTTTTCTAGACACCAAAGGCAGCAAATGCAGGCTTTCAGCATACAGCGAGCACAGGCATTTTCCTAGAGCAGCCACAAAATGCAGGATAGCAAAGATACACAGTCAAAACAAAAGATCTAAAGAAAGCAACAATCCTTTCATTTTGGAAACTGATACTTATCTCAATAACCTATTCTGTCCCTATTATCAGACCTACAGTCCTCCAAGGGCCAAATACTCCAAACTGAGACTTCAAGTCTCCCAAACGGATGAAATACGGTTAAACTGTGAATATGTCAAGCCTTCAGTTTTATTAAGAAGATGGGATCTATTTCTCTTACTTTTCCTTTGAGTTGTGTATGAATATACATAAGTATCATTCGTGGTATCTTCACTAGAGTGATAATGAAAGACCCCTTTGCCACTGTTCCTAAGTGGTAACAAATAAGGCGATTAACAGATGCCAGAATAGGAGTAAATGGCAGATTCCTTTTCTCCCTGTGGAAAAAAAGAAAAAGATTGAAGTGATCAATATGGATTTAATAACATCACATGAAACTGATATAAATACTCTTTGAAATAACAGGCAAAAGAAGTTTCCTGTTCTCATTCTAGTTTTCAGGGAACTCATACTAGACAAACAAAAAAAGTACATATTACATATTACTCATACTAGACAAAACACTGACTATCTCTGCTAGCCACAGTTTTGGTTCAGTCATAGGGAAAGGATAATGAATCAGCAGATCATAAGGGTGCTTGTGCTATCAGGTGACTGCATTACAGCTACAGCCAAACAGTTCCTTCTAACATGCACATTCACRTGGTGCATGGTACACGATTCAAACTCTTTCTAAATAAATGTTTGAAACAATGAAAACATTCCTGAAACAGCCCACTGATAAAACTGCTGTGCTCCTCCCCTCGTATTCTGCTTCATAAAGACTCTTTTGGAGAAGATAGAAGGAAACTTCCTAATTCCCTCTTACAGTTTGTATTTGTATTTTCTACCAAGGAAGCCATCTCTACTTCTTTAGCAAAGAACAGTTCAATTTAATATTTAAGGAATAATTGTTCCTTATGATAAATATGAAAGTCATAATAAATATATGAAAGAAAAAATATTAACATTTTGAGCATAAAATATTTCTTGAACTTGGAAGAAAACTATTTGATGTGAATTTCACTCAAAAAAGATTCGAAGTAGGGTCTTAATTCTAGGAAACTAAGCGACACATAACCTAATTATGGGACATTAATGATTAAAATATGTTTTTAGATGTTTTCTTCCCATTAGCAGTTAGAGCCCAAGTGGCTGCAGACAGATTGCCCTTCTCCTATGGTACAATGACATAAAAGTCTAATCGAGTTTCGAGTTCTCCCTTTCAAGTAATTGTAATGGAGGGCAGACTTTACTAGTGAACTTTGAGATCATCTGCTTTGCAGGGACACCATCTTGCTGATGTGAGCAGATAGCGGGCATACAAAAAACATCTCTTTATTGCTAACTTGATCACATTTGATATGAAAAGCTGCTGATGGGCAAAACAACAGCAAGCCCTAAATTAGTACCTTTTCCCTCTTTTTTTCCAATTTCCACTTTCAAAGCAGAATTGTACTTTAAAATGCAAGACAGAATAGTAATAGAGTGAAATAGCTATTTACTAACTCATAATACAATTTCCATTAAGGAGTGATAGACAAGGAACAGTTAAAAGCAAATCACTTACCTTTGGGTAACTGAAAGCACATAAAGATGAAGCATGAGATAAAAAACTAGCTAACACCTCATTCAGTGCAAGATATCCCTTCCACTTTATTTTTTCTAGTTCTTCACTCAATCTCATGTTACTGTTTACAAGATTATATCCCTGTAATGTCCTTTACTAGCTTCACTGATACATTTAGTCCCTATACCGGAGGACTTCACCATTAATGAAACAGAATTTATCTGTATAGTCAACTATATAGTTGACTATATATCATGCTGTTGATACATATAAATATATGTCTAATGTTTTATTATATACATTTGCTTTAATCTACATATATGTTTTAATAAATATGTTTTATGTATTTTTAAAGAGATTAAGGCTGATAAGCAATTACATGTATTCCAGATGGAAGTCTCAGCTAGAAAGACAAATCTATTAAACATTTGTGATGTGAAACACTCTGTAATACAGAAGAAATATCTGCAAACAACGCTTGAAAAAAAAGTATTTTAAAGCAGACTAAGAAACACACACATACACATCAGAAATGGGTATGGTTGTTGGATATATTCATTTTAAAAAAAGACTTCTATCTTGTCAACATCCTCCAACACATCCTCCAACATGTGAGGGTCTTTAGCYGGAATGGTTGCATCTACAATGTTTGCAGAATATCTTGAAAACACTGGAAATAACTGCTGAATAATGATAGTTTTGGGCTGTTTTCTTTTCTTATTTTTTAGAAAACAAATGTATCATGAACTGCTAACTTTTAGAATTGTATCTGCAGAAGCTTCATTAAAAATATGCTTTTACAAAAGGACAAAAAATATACTTGATTCTTTTTCCTCATTAAATATACTGCCAATAATTTGAAATCATATACCAAAGTGATACAGATCACTATGGTACTGTTTATACTTATGTAATAACAACAAAGCACGGGATAATTTTTTCCCCCCACACCTCAGGTTCTAAAGCACTAAAGCAAGAATTTCGTTTTTACTTCAAGATAATCTTTGAGCTATAGTAGTGCAAAATTAGAAAATACAGTATTTACGCATTCTAGAGTTTTAAATCATGAAGCCAGAACTCATTCATTTCAAAAAGCTTATGATTCTGAAATCAGTCTCATGTCTGTGAAGCCAAAATCCCTGTGTCTGAACACTGGTAAAGCCACTGTTTAATCGGGAAATATCATCAGCATAATGTCTCAAGAAGCTACCAAGTTCAAGCAGAACAGCCAGGGTACAGAATATMGTGATAACACATTTTGGGGCACAAATACAGCAAAAAATATGGAGTTTTAATACATATGCACTTTATATCACTTGCATATTTGTGAACAATCTTGTTAGAATCCGTGGGAAAACAATGAATTTCATTAGACCTTGAGCAATCTCATTTAAGAAAGATTAATGAAGCACTGTGAATAATTTAAATGTTTTCCAATTAAAATTATGGTAATCAATTGTTGTCAGTTATTTTTTAATCTCTACAGAGCTTATCAGCATTAATACTGGAAAAGGAGCTCTTCCGGATGCTTTCCACTTCTGTAARCAGTCCTTCACATGTCTTTATGCTGTGGGGCATAGGTTACAAGGCAAACAAGACTGCAAGTTCATAATATCAGTGCTATAGTCTATAGCCAGCAAAATAAATTTTAGCACATGATATTATGTTAAAAGTCTTAACACAGTTCTGTTGCTTTTCAGCTTCCAAGGAAAAGCTAAGTATTTTCCTCCAAAGCTCTTTATTTCTTTGGACTCCGTTTCCAGGTTGATCACAGTAGAGCTGTATTAGAAGTCCTTACCTTGTAAAATAGTACGTCACAACAGCCCCTGCTACAGTCATCTGCTGACAGGCTAGGATGAACTCACTGATCCAGATCAGCCCCACCACATGGTACCACCACATGTATTTCAAAGGGCCTACCACCCGAAATTCAACAAATCCTTCTTCATTTGGGACTGGATTACCTAAGAATAAATCAGAATAAATGAGGAAATAGTTCTTATTCAGCACTTATTCTTTCACCAGATCARAAAGAAGGAAGCATATGGCATTAGTTGCACACATGCATTTAGAGAGGGACCATTCCAGTTTCTATTAACCTACATTCCTCTTACAWATATTGTTCATAAGTAAGATACTGTTTGGGGAACAAACAATAATGGTAGTTAAAGAACAGATTTTTTTTTTTTTTTGAATATACTCAAAATGCAGCTTTTTATTTTTAGACGCAAGTTTAAAATTTCCAAGAATAACAGCAGCAAGTAGCAAGAATTCTTATAACTAAATATAATAAAAGGAAGTTTGCAATAACCATTCTTAATTTTCTGTCTACTGCTCTTTGGATATAATGTACACAGTGCAATTAAATATTAAATTGGATTTAGATATCAACATTAGTAAACAATTTTATTTCCCAGTGTAGCAAGTAACCATGCATGTATTTCAATGATATTTGTTGCTTAACAGGCATTTAAAGGCATGAAAAGTTGCTATAGAGACTATAAAAGTAAATTTTCGTACCTTTAGAAGCCTGTGGACTCTTTGTTTAATCTGAAAAGCGCTACAGCTTGTGATGACTGACAGTACATGTCAGACYCCTACTAGGGGAACCTCTGTGCAGTGATCTTAAGTCATAAACTGAAATGTGGGACTAGGACTTCAATCACTTTCAAAGGCAAAGCTTTTTGACTTACTCTTCCTTAGACAATACATATAGCACATTTTGAAGTGAAAACTAAAATTTTAGCACTAAAGAGAGGAAGAACACATGAATTCTGCCCCAGGCTAAAAATTCAGGCCAAGATTTCCAAAAGATTTATCTTGTACTACCATGAAATAGCTCTGTGATCCAAAATATTGCTACTTTGGGATTAGTAGTTAACAACCAGTTTCAAAGTTCTAAGGTTTTGGTAATGAATGATGAGAATAACTACTGATAAGACAGGAGGAAATGGCCTCAACTTGCACTGGAGAGGTTCAGGATGGATATTAGGAAAATTTTCTACATGTGAAGCCCTGGATCAGGCTGCCCCGGGAGGCAGTGGGGTCACTGTCCCCGGCAGTGCTCAAGAGGCGCTCAAGAGGCGCTCAGGGACATGGTCTAGCAGGCAGGGTGGTGATGGGCTTATGGTTGGACTCAATGATCTTAAAGGTCTTTCCCAACCATAAGGATTCTATAATTCCATGATCTCTCCTGGCCACAACTTGCTCCAAAATGATGCATTTCTCCCATTCTAAAAAGCAGCTGCTAGATTTTCCTGCTGAAACAACTAAGATATTGACCAGCAGCATTGACTAACTCCACTCATTAAATCATTAATGCAAGCAGAGTCCTCTCAGCTTTTAAAAGAAACTCAGAGGACTGTGACTGCTCTCACAGTATAGAAAAAATTGGAAAAACACAAACAAACAAAAAAGCCCAAAGAACATCTCACTAATAAATCTGAAAAATATTGGAATAGTACTGGACATATAGATTTTGAACAACTGAAAACTGCTAGCTCTGAAAACTGAAAAGTTCTTTCATTACTACATTTCTACCTGTGTGAGAGCCTGCTAAAACACATTCTCATCTATCTTGAGATAGACAAGTTGTTTTTAATTTGTTTTTATAAAACCAGAGAAAACTATTTGCAAAACTTACAGACATCTTAAGATTAATGGGCTTTGTGGTCATCAACATGCCAGCTGGCATCAAATCAAAAAAATGGTCTAAAACACAAAGTGATATACAAGGCTGTAGGCTCACAAATGTGCAGTAACTTTCCAGACATAAGCTGAAGTCACTGAAGCAGATCAAAACAGGATGCAAAAGGTGTGGGTTTTTTTTTTCTTTCTTTCTCTCCCCTAGAGGTTCCACCATTCTTTTTAATCAAATCTGTCTGAAATGGCACAGAAATAAAGTGAAATTTAAAATAAGCCCAATAGCTGCTTACCTGTAGTACCAAGGAAAAGCAGGACAGTGATCCAGTATGCCCAGAAGAGGATAAGAGCAAAGAATGTCCAAAATGGCTGGAAGACTAGTAGTGGCAGGTGAATGAAGACCTTGCCGGCCACATGGAACAAGGCAATGGTGAGAGCTACTCGTTTGCGCATAATTAACATTATCAGGAACAAGATAACCTAGAGGAAGAAGTTTCCAAATGGCATTTTAGAGAAAATTAAGCATGATATAATTTTGTGCAAGTAGGATTTTAAAAAATACCAAATTAACACATATTCCTGGTGGGTGATATAAGCTTTTAAGATCAAAATTGGAAAAAAAAAATCTTTTTTTTTTAGCTCCTTTGATGAGAAATTATACTTCAAATTCTATTTCTGGAAATGCAAAACTTGTATTTATTTTGAAGTGATCTCAGATTCAGGTGACTAGGCCAGATTCCACTGTTATATTGCACAGAACAGTGAMACCAAAGAGGAGTACAAAGACTTAATGAGGAATACTGATTAACATTTATTTGGGGGCAAAGTATAGCAGTCTTGTCAGGGAAGTCAGTAAAATATGGTCAGTTTTTAATAAAGTAATACTGAAACAAGGAATAGCAAGGCCAAAAACAGTGCAATTGTTTCAGTATTGTTAGTATTTAAGTTTACAATGACCTCTCTGTAAGCAGAACAAGTTTGACAATAACTGTTTTCATAAGTATGAATATTCTAAGAACTGTTAACTATATTAAAATGATGAAACACCTCTGAAATCCAAATCTAAAAAAAATCTTGTGAGTGAAAGTGGGTTGGGGGTCTAATACTGGACCTATTCGTGGATGTCCCTGTGGACATTTTGGAGTAGAACAAAACAGCTGCGCAGTCAAGAACTGACACTACAAGAATAAGTCAGTATTACAGAACACTGCCTGGAAGTTAAAAAAAAAATCGTAGCAACTCAACCCATAACAGAAACAGAAACTTTTCAAAACCACATACACAGTATAAACCTTTCTCCTGAACAGAAAAATGTAGACGGCCAGTAAAAGAGAACAAGCAAATAATGCAATCATTAGCAAAACATACCGTGAAGACTGTTGCTGAAATGGCATAGATCAGAAGAGCCTGAAGATTATCTTTGGCTATTTGAGTCTCATCAGCACTGGCAGATGCTCGTTGCTTAGCATAGAGCCACCACAGGACTCCTGTTCCACCTATGTTTCAGAGTGAAAAAGAAGAGAAAATCTTTAATGGGACAGACACACACTACGCAGAACATTTTAAAAAAAAATAGAACAAAACAAACAAAAAAAMCATTTTTTTTTTCTTTAAATCTAGCCTGGTATAAAATATTAAAGGACAATGATGGCTAACAGAAAAAGGAACTTCTAAAGACAGAGACGTGCTTAGATCTTCTCTTTTTGCTGTCTTCCAAAGTGGACATTTTTCACAGCCTTACCACGCTATGTCCATTTAGGTGCTTTGCCTTTGTGTTTTAGGATGCATGAAAGGACTAGTCCCCAGGGAGTCCCAGAAAAGGTTACAGTCATGTAACCTAYACCAGGACAGAATAGGTATAGATAAATCTGGGAAACTAGGAGGAGGGAGAGAGGAATCACTACATAAAGATGCAAAATACCAAGAGAAGCAAAAAACTAGAGGCTGTAACTCTCGAAAAGGCTAATGGAAAAGAGAAGGGGCACCCTCAGTGCTCAAAACAGCTAAGACAGATATCTATGCCTGCATCAAGAAAATGCCATTCAGGTACTAAAAACACATTAACAAAAAGTTGAGGAGGACACACAGAAGTCATTTACAGTACACTGACTCCTGCTACAAAATACTAATGTGTTATAACCAGAAGTTTATACTTGTATTCTGCTTGCCATTCCAAGGTCTCCTAAACACTGTTTTCCAACCTCTCCCTTTGACAAACTTTTCCTCCTTTGAGTTTCCTTCTCGGCTCTGYTTCTATTTCTCACTCATATTAGGAATATATTAGGAAGTATTTCGAAATATAATCATTCCATCTTGGATATTTCCCTGCTCTTATCTGCTTATACATTTTGGCTTAGTTACAGAGTATCAATAACAGAAAAATTTATTTGCGCAAATGAAAAAGACAGTATCTTAAAGTAAGCCTACTTTCACAGAATTTGAACCATGTGGGGTAACAAAGCTGGCAGGGCTGACTGCATTTCATATCCTAGGCAATAGAGGACAGTCTGGGTCACATGGAAATTTGAATATTTTATTCACATATGATAGAGATTCTCACCTCTGGAATAGATCTCAGCCATGCTTAGGGAGCTACTGAGATGTCTGACAGGGCTGACCCATCAGGGCCAAACACATCTACAGCATCACAAGGGTCCCTGAGGCTGTTTAACAGTAGCTGCCAGTTGATTCTTGCATGCTCAAGTATGGCCAGCAGGYTGCAGTGCCATGGGGCACTGCAGACCCAGTGCCCAGCCTGTTTGGAAGGCAAGAGCTTAAGCAGCAGGTGCAGGGCTGCAAAGACAACTCTGCATGGTGTGAAAGGACGCTGGTGATTGTGGCTGAGAGGAAGTTTGCCTGCCCAGCAGGAGGCGCAACAAGGAAGAGAGCGACACAATCTAGTAGAAGACTGAAGTTACAAAGGCATCGTTTTCAACAGATGTCTCAAAGGGGTTCAAAGGAAAGTAAAAGGGAGGTCCTGCACTTTAGATTTGTGACCTATGGATGCAGAAGACAAAGCTTAGAAATGGGTTCTCAAAAATGGTGAGAACAACAAGACTTACCAAGTGATCCCAGAATGACTAGAATTGTTAGAATCCAGACAAGCACTCTTGAAATGTATCTGATTATAACCATCAAAATCATGGACAGCACTGCAAAAAAAGACAAATAAAATAAGCAGAACGATTATTTCAAGGAGAAGTGAACTCTCCAGTTCTCTCACTACWCTAGATAATTGCTTTTCAATATTTTTTTAGGCAGAGAGATATTTATTTTCCGTGGCTAACACACTCACTGCTCAGATAGGGAAATAAGCATTTTACAAATCCTGCTTTGATGCTGCCAATTAAAGCAAAAAGAGCATAAACACATTTACATGGCACATTGCATACAAGACATAATGCATACATATAGAGATGTACTTAGACAATGACAAAAACAACAGATATGACAGCACTGCAAGTCTACTAACATGAGCACATCTACTGAGGAACAGAGCAGAATTTAAATACACTTGCCAAACAAGTGCAGACAAAGTGATGTCTCCCTATTTCAAAATGACACATTGGTGAAAAATAAAAAATGACAGCTTTGTTCTTTATTTTCAACATTCAAAGTGGGTTTTATAACCAGCTTTGTTGATACAGGCCTACTGCCCTCCGTGAACAGCATGTTAAAAACCCCTCCTCAAAGTTAGATTCACTARGAATTCACTAAGTTACATTCACTAAGATGTAGTGTGTGCTCATTCACATTTTTGCACACRTTTGTGTACAGCAGTTATACTTCCACATGAAAACAAATGGAGCCAGGCTTTGTGAATCACATGATCCCAGAGTTAGCTTAAAAAATTAAAGATACTCTGTTTAACTACGGGAGTATGCAAAAAAGTTAACATCATCATACTTCCTCCTCGTTCACATTAACATTTTCTGTACACAAACTTCTGTACTAATTTCTAACACTAACCGAACAGCAGCACTGCTAATTCAGCCACTGGCGGTCAGATTCTCAATATTCTTTTACCACACCAAATTACTACAACTGCCAACACAGAGGATTAAATTGCTCGCCAGTTACAGTCAAAAAGACACTCAATAGTGTCCTTATTTATCCACCATTTTTAAAGTGGAATCTATCATCCTCTTTTTTACCACAAAAGTGGACTGAAAAACAGAGGACTTTTTTTTTTTTCTGGAGTAGCATTTTTTTTCCTAGATTATGCAGATTATTCAAATATATGGCTGATATCCTTCAGCTTTTCAGCTGAAGATTAAACATTTTATACTTTGGAGTAAAATCAATTTATTAGGAAAGTAATTAATGTGGGTGAATGGCACTCCATCATAATTCATAAGACTTTCAGCCTGCAATTTCAGCCTGCATTTGGGTGCAATATGAGTGATATGAATTTTCACTCCACAGTCCTGAAACAGGCATTTCCCAACTGAAGTAACCATGCAGCATCTCTGTGCTGCTGGAAATTTCCTGCTTTTTAGACCAAGCCAAGATTTTCAAAGGTCTGAACTTCTTTCAGTTTGCAGGAAGGAGACAAACATCATAACAAACAGGCACCTAACTTCCATTGTTTTCCTTTTAAAGTTCCCAATTTTTTCTAACAAGTASTTAAACCAAAACATTTTAGAATAGTGTGTTACTGTGCAATTCTTGCTAATGTTTTTCTATCTGGAAATGGAGTAGGATTGGCAGAAGACAAATTAATAATACACAAGGGCTGGGTGAGTATTATAATAAAACATTAATTATGCCAAAAGTAACAATGGTTATTTATGTGGCCTCAACCTCTGTACCAGACTAAGGTAGAGGAGGAAAACCAGGAAGGCACATTTATGCTACTTCTGAGAATGTTACTGAGCTGTCAAATAAAAAAGGCATTCTGAATATTTCTCTAAGGGCTTATTGCTATTATGCATGTTTTCTGCTCATATTGTGCTTAGAGGGTGTTAACAATCTCCTAATGCAGTACTATGAAATAACTAATAATGAGAAAAACAATTACCTAGTGATAACAAGCAAAGTCCCATTATAATCTCTTTGCTGGTCATAACTCCACTAATCAGCCTGTGTAAGACACTACTGTCACTGACAAAGGTGATCAGGGCCTCTGCAAACTTGGCATAGCAGGAAATGTTCACAGGAGCACAGCGATGGAAGAATGGAATAGGTGCACTGGTGACACAAGAAAAAAAAATCAGAAAAAAAATTACTCCTACTTAATATAAATGCCACATCAACACACACAAATGAAGGTGAATAGATGCAACCACTCCACCCTCACAACATCATAACCAGGAACTGTGTTAAATGCACAAATGCTGCTGAAATGAGGATGATCATAATGGCATGTGATGCAGTTCTTAAAAGGAACCCTGTGAGGGTGGAGTGCACATTCCAATAAGATATCACCCTCCCATCCTTTGGAAACAGACAGGATTATTTAAAAAAGTTCCTATTTCAGCTTAAGCATCTCTTACTGAAGTGATGAGCCTGCACCTGCCTTTCAGTCATACTGCAGTACTAGCCCTTATCTGTAGTAATAGAAATCCAAGAAGGATATATTCTGTGCTTAAAGAAATCAGCGTTTATAATTACTGCCAATATATTTTTTCTTAGTCTCCCCCCATAGTAAGCTTGCTCTGTATTGTAGAAGATTATAATAACAGTGATAATTTTCATGCATTATATTAGTTGTATATGATATTGCATATTATGCACTGTATTATCTGTAAAACATGCAAAGATGTTTCTGTTRCAACTCTTCCATTGTTCTTGAATGGTTTTGGAAACACCCTCTCCAAAAATGTTACACATTAAACTTCTCAACAGAACCTATTACAAAGCCCATCAGAAGTTAAACACAGTTRAAAGCAGTTAAAACTTCACTTAACAAGTGTTTAACCAAGTTGCTTTCCTTGTTCTATGTTTCTATGCAAGATTTCAAAGAAAGTTCAAAACAATTCACTTTTCAAATTGAAAAGATTTCATATTTTGCTCAACTTCCAGTTGCATTTAAGATATGTTCCATAAATTACATGTTCTTTGCTGCAATTGGATGAATAAATGAACAATGAATAAAGTGTCTGTTGTACTAGGTCAGTCTTCTCTTTTAATCTAGATGTTTATTTTCTACACCTCAATTTTATTTAAAGGATTCCAGTGGCCTGTAGCAGCAATGCAGATAATCTTTTGTAGTCTCCCATTTCAGCAATAACCTCCATAATCAATGATTTTCTACACTCAATAGCTCTTCTTAATCCCAAATCCTTGCAACATTCCAGCTTCCATTTAAAGCATGTACTGTCATCCTTCCTGCATGTTACTTTCTTTTTGAGGGGGGGAGGAGGAGGATGAAGATATTTTTCACAGAAATGGGGAGAATTTATGATTATCTGCCATATATAGATCATTTGTAGATCCTTTTTTTGTGTGTTAATAACAGACAATCCTAAATTAAATGGTTTTAAATTCACTGTGCAAAGTAGGCAAATGAATTTGTAGATGCTGGTATCAATGCTTTACTTTTGGTTAGTGATGCAGACAACAGTTAAACACAGCAAGTAATTGTGTATTAGTCACAGTTGGAAAGAAACAAATTAAACCCATAATCACTGCATATTTAAAAAGCAGTCCATATACTGTCTCAGTCTTTTACAACATATCCAGTTTTAACATATACTGCATACTGCAGCTATTTTTACGCTCAGAGAATGGGAAACACTGAAATTGGAAGTTTTATCTTATTTTCAATTATTTCAGTTCTGCAGAAAAAGTAGAACATATAACAAGCTCTCATTATCRGTGACAGAGCTCAAATTTTGAGCTTCAAGTAAGCAAAGACTCTCATTCCTATGTCTGAACAAGAAAATGGCCATTTTGAAAATGGAAACTAAGAGGATTAAAATCAGGCTGTTCCAAAATAAATGCTGGAAGAGGAACAAATGCTGTTAGTGCAGATTCTAAGCTGTCTTGTACAGTAGCAATGTCACAGCACATTTTAAGTTACATATTTTTATATGCCATAATTAATTTCTAACTTTGTTCTAATTAACAAAAAGACAGTGTTAGTGGTTACTATTTATGAACTTTCTTGAATAAATAGGACTCCTGAGAATCTACATTCTGAGATGGGCTATTTCAGTGGTTCTGACACAATGAGTAGGTTAGATGATGTCTTGATTAATAAATAATGAAATAAATCTATTCCCATGACCTCTGTAACTCTCTGAAAATGACCTGATACTTAATCATGTCCAAGAGAAGTTAAGTTTGTTCCAAGACAGAAGATGATTATGACAAAAGCTTCACTTTTAAAGCCATATTCAAACGAACACAAGATCCAGGTAATTGTTCAAGCACTGGCCTCCACAGGAGAACTCTCTTCTCTCCGATCTATAGCCAGGCAGATACAGAAACTAGAGGGGGGGGAACTTGGATGGAATGCCACTGTGGTCTGCTCATTGTAACCCCTATAGAACGGCTCCTTGGCACAGCTTGCTGAGCTGGTTGACAGACAAATGCTGCAGTCAAAGGCTGGACTAGTTTTTTCCAGAGTTCTCTATTCCAAAACTAGCCAATGAAATCATGCTCTACTGMAGGTCAGAGATTCGGGGTAAAGTTATTTGAAGAAATACAAATGGCTAAACAGACACCGTTGGACATGATTCTCTGCAGTCAAGGATCAGTCCCTTGAGATGTAGCCTCAATTCTAAGGCAAAAAAAAGCCTTGTCATCAAATAAAACATCAAGGGACAGTCCTCATGGCATAAGCTATCACCATTCCATGGATTTAATGGTGGTGACATCATAGTTCATACTTTTGGTAAATCAAATCTGAGATAGAGGGTTAGATAAGTTCTCCCAGAACAACTCAGTCCAGGGGTTTGATCTTTCATTTGTTGACAAGATTCAATTTCATCTTCAAATTTTACTAATTCAGTTGAATAATTTAGCTACAGTTGTTTACAGATAACATGTTGGCCTTTTTTCTCCCTTTCCTTTTACCATTCAAGTCAAGACTTTAAATTTCAGAAAATGGTCAAATACATTATATATGCAATTTATACTAACAAAAAAGGGGAAATACTCCACTTAATACTTTYTTAAGAAATAACTCATGAGGTAGTTTTTGTGCAAAATTTACATACCAGCATTAAAGTTATGACAGTTTTCTATCTGCCTCTTCTCACATTAATGTACATTTATTCAGATGAATGACATGGGAACATACAAGAGAAGTTAATATAACTCTGGCAAAAATCAAGACTGACAAGCCTTTTCAGTATGCAGGCTGGGAATCAAGTTTTCATTTGTTTTTGTATTACAGCTGTAACAGCTAAATCAGCTGCATGGAATATTGATCTGTTGTGGGGAAATAAAATGTTAATATTCCAGCTGCTACTTATTGTCAGTACAATCTAAAAAGAAATTAGTCACTGGATAGGCTACTGTGCAAGCAAGATATATTTAAAATCAGTTTCCACAACTGACAGGATTAAAACTGTACAAGGGGCAGTAGTCTGCAATTTAGGCCTACCACTGAACGTCCAAGAAGCCACAATATGAAAAAACACAACATGATTCTTGTTGACTAAGTGGTATTATTGAATGGTCTTATTTTGCAACTCTCTTCTCCCTGTTTATAAAGAAAAACAGCCTAGGTAATATTTTACATAACAAACTTGGCAAATATGTTTATAATATACAGTTCTTTTTTATGAGACTGGTATGCGAGCAACCACATATTGGTTGGTCATTTGGGAACTGAAGAATTTAAAAAACAAAGCAATTTGCTAAATTTCACTGTTTGATATGGTTTAAGAGGTGAACACTGCAGAGAATATCCATATTTTCACTCCCAAAGATCCAAAAGCCTTAAAAAATCATGACTAAAATGCAGCCCTGCTGGGCAGCTGGTGGTAGGGTTAAAGGAAGCTAATCAGCTTATATTTAGTACAATTTCAGTTATATGAGACAAAACAATCTGAAGATGACAGATGTCAGCTTAAAACTATTAATAAGAGAATAGTTTGACATTTTTTGTTGAGTTGCCTTGATGATGTCTTTATAAACTTTCAGCACTAAAACATCCACCTATCTATGCTTCATGTTCTGATTCTAAAGAACTACAAAGAACAAAAATCCCTGTTCTTTCCATCACCACCCCCAACGAGGCAAGAAGTTAAAATTACCTCTCTGGAACGGGGTACTTAGGACATAGCTTGGCAGCCCTTGGGTCTGTAGTGTATTCGGATGGCTGTAGTTCATAGCTGCAGAGAGTAGATCCTGTTGGGAGGAAAAAAAAAAGAAAAAATAAACATATTTATATATTATATATGTTATATGTGTTTAATATTATATATTAAACATATTACTTTTTTGCAAATCGTATCAAAGGTYCTGATTCTGTAGCTCCTCGTATTATTACTGCTCTTTTTTCATTTTGCAGATGGATATGCTAGTTATTCCTGCAGTAGAACAGTGAATTGAATCCAACACATGTTCCACTGTAACAGAATAATCCTTTGCGTTTAGCATTATTAGCCTTGAAGAAAAATACTTTTAACTATGTGGAGCAACAGTGAGCAGGCCAGCAATGAGACAGAGTGTTTATGGGTCACACAGTGCTACCTTTGGTGCTATTAAGTGTGCTTTGGACATACACTTAGGCTTCTGTCCTGTGGTTTCTTTTCCATGAATACAGTTCCTTTAGTTGTTAGAAGAATATTTTGGGACATGATTGATGCAAATATATCTCAAAAGATAATCTTTCTTTTCAATCACAATCCAGAAAACAAACAGATCTTCAGGTGGTTGAGTCTTGTCATTCTTATGCTGTTTTATCTGAGCACACAAAAGCTCCATTTCTTTTCCATTTATTTTTTTCATTCCTTTTCATTTAGAAAGAAACTATGTAACAGTAAATGGAATAGYCTATGCTAGACTGAGGTAAATTAACTAAAAACATTCTCAGAGCACAAGGCTGCAGTGCAGCATTCCTTCTTGTATTTACTTTGCCATAAAAACATGCACACCCTGCAATATCACGAACACTATCAATACTGAAATTTACACATTTAGAAATGACGGATTTCATTAAATTATCTGCTCAGAGCTGGTCCATAGAGGAAAACAGCAAGAAAGCAGTGCCTGAGCCACTGTGGTAGAAAGCACGTGAGTGGCCTTGGACTCCATTCTGCAGTGCATATCTATCTCTCTATGCTCTTAGCATGAACTGAAAAACAGAATTCTGCATCCAAAAACATGGACGTCAAAGATTTAAGGATTTTAGCAGAAAAACACAAAAGTATACAGAAATATTTGGGTTAGCTGTTGAACAGAACAGTCACTTTTAGCAGTGTGCTTTACTTAAGCTAGATATGGTTTCAAGCAGCAAGGAATTTCCTTGCTCAAAGGCACATAATAAAGCACATGAACACACTAAAATCTATGATTTTATTGAAGTCATTTTTTATGAGATCTTCCATATATGGTCTCACTCTTAAAAATGTATTGTGAAAATATGTGATACACTCCATTTCCTCCAAAGGACAGTATCATAAAGTAGAGATTATAATTGGGAAAAAATTCAGCATCTTATTGCACCTTAAGCATTCTGCCTTTCAGAAACAGCATCTTACTAGTCCATGAAATCCTCTAGCACAGTTTCCAAACTCTAGGTAGTGAGGGATATGCAGTGCGTAGGAATATTAACAAGAGCGAGGCGTTTAAAGTATAACTACTGGCCTCTGTACTTACAGCCCATTGCTGTTTCCCCTTCTGTCCTAGGTATTTTATCAACAAGTTCCAGCAATCAACATACAGGTAACATTCTGAAAGCATGACTCATACATAATTGTGCTTAATTATGCTTAACCAGCCTGCAAAACACAGCTAGAAGGATCAGCAGCAGGAGAGTAAGAGAGCTGGAGTTCACTGATATTCAGGAAGACAAGGCTCTTAACTTTTATGAGTCTGAAATTTTTCTCTCCTTTGATTTTCTTCACTCCAGAACTTGTCTTACATCTATTTGTTGAACTACGTCTATTCTAAACTGCTACTGTGACTTAGGTTTCACGTCCACAGCACCAAACTATGTGACAATCTGACATACTATTATTAGTATATACTAGTATATTATGAATTAGCAACATGCATAGCAAAAATAGCTTAGCACACTGGCTATTTTCAAACACAAATTTTCAAGGAATTCTGTTTCCACAGTCACAAAAACAGAGCACAGGTATGATGCCACGCAGTCTTTCCACAGCAGAACAGAGACTACCATCCACTGCTCACTCCTGCCAGTAATGAAAAGCAGAGGAGAACAGCATTGCATGACTTTAGAATAACTGTGTCTATAGGCAGCAATAACAAGACCTAGTAATAATGTATTCTTATTCAAGACATTCCAAAAATGCTACTCCAAAYAATATACTCAAATTCCTAAAAATTCTGTGGTGTTGAATCACTTTCTCCATAATATGCCTCTATATAATGTAATATTCTGAAGATGAAGGTTCAGAAAAATCACAAGCAACTAAGTTTTAACTGGCACGCTTCCACAAAATAAAAATGACAACAAAAAAAAATGTCAAAAATCAGCAGCAACTAGTGCAACTATTACTTCTAAAATAAGGACCAACAATACACTGCAAATATGTACTTTGATTACTGAAGCTAAAGATTACATTGTACTCTGACAAAACAATCTTTTGTTTTCCCATAGCGCAGAGCAATGACCTACTCTGGCTTACCCAGCTTGATTTCCTGCATTGATTTCTTTCAGGTCAGCCTCAGTACCAGACTTAATGTAGCTTTACCCTCAGGCTCCAAGTCCTTTGGACGCAGAGTTTTACAAGTCTCTGCTAAGTCTCTGCTACAGAACTCTTGACAGCTGAGGTGCCTGACAATGCATTTTAAAATAGGAATTTTATCTGAGGTTACTAAAACAGCATAAAATAGAAAAAAAGAGCATAAAATAGAAAAAAGAAAAAAGAATATTTGCTCCTAGAAAGACCCATGCAGTACGGTTGCTATTGGATTCAACATATCTCAAAATAATGGCCATCTGTTTAATGCTTCTTTTCAATAATGACACTTTATTATTTATTTGGCACAGTCATAAATGAATTATTTCTTTACTGATATTTAAAGCCGCTTTAGCAAGACTGAAATGGTCATGGCAATGTTTCCTGGCCATTAAGTTTTAAAGTATTATTTAGCTTTCTGAAAAAAAAATAAAAGCTTTCAATCAGATCATTCAATATGCACCATTTTTTCAAGTGTCAAGATTAATAAAAACATTGAATCCTAAGTAATCCTTGTTTTCAGCATCCTATCAGGTGACAGTATTCTGGGGACTGCAGCAGCTAGTTTACAACATGAAATATTCTCATTTGGTTCCAACTCATAGTTCTACAAATTCAGGTATTAACAAAACATAGCTGTGTGCAAATAACATTAGAGAATGTTCTCAGTCAAAGCGGCACAATCAGCTCCAGGATTTGCTCCAGAGAATTCCTCTGCTTTCAATTTACATCTTTGTTAAAGCTGGATACCTCAGAATTCAATTGCCCAGCTTCTTCCTTTCTCATTTTCCTGTAAGAAGTCCAAGCCAGTTCCCAGTCCCTCCTGTGTGTCAATCACTCTGAACRTATTAAAGATACAAACCTTCTGCTTTTCTTCTGACTAGTAAAGCTTTGTGAGGGACAGAGCTCTCCTTCTCTTAGGTAGAACAACATTGCAAATGCAAAACCTGACTTGGGGAGTGACAAGTAATTGAAATTACCATTCTGAAATTCTGCATTAATCATCAAGTCAGCTCCTTTCCACAACAGCCAAGAGATTAGGAAGTGCGTCGTTACTGATCCATAAAACCACAAAGCTCCTCTGTCATAAGATGTTCCTCATGCCGCAAGCAGCCATTTCCTCTGCCCTGACTGCTTATTTATGATCTGGCTTGCAGACAAACCCCAGCTGGACTTCAAAATAAATAAGAGCTCTGCCACAAATGCTCTGAACYCTGAGTATTCACATTTCTGCCTTGTTGCGTACGGGCAATTATGTGCCTATCTCACTTCAGGAAGATACCATTAATGCAAAAATACATGAAATATTGTACTTGGTATTAATCAAATCATTTACCAAAAGGGGAATGATGCATTATGTTTTTGTGTTATATCTTTTGATAAAGACATTTGCAGAAAACACAAACTTAAACACACAATTCACAGAATCACAGAGTGGTTGAGGYTGGAAGGGGCCTCTGGAGCTCACCTAGTCCAGCAAGGACACCCAGAGCAYGGGGCACAGGGCRGCATCCAGACTGGTTGGGAAGATCTCCAGAGGAGGAGACTCCACGGCCTCCATGGGCAGCCTGTGAAGGGTTCGGGCACCTTCACAGGATGGAAGTCCTTCCTCACATGCAGGAACTGCCTGGGTTTCAACTTATATCCATTGCCCCTTGTCCTGTCACGGGCCACCACTGAGAAGAGCTTGGTCCCTTCCTCCTTACATTCCCCCTTCATTTACTTATACATATTAATCAGATTATAYATATTAATTTCAGGCACACTTAATAAGAGACTTGACTTATAAACATAGAAACAATGTTTGTGGAAATCAATGTTTACATGGTTGCATTTCATTACTTCAAGAGGTACTCAGGGAACTCCACTACTGACTAACTTSATTTTTGCAGAAGCACATAATTGGTCTGCATTAAGAATAATACAGCAAACATGGCTGAGAGGTAAATTATAAAACCATACTCCAATACTGACTAGTTTAATTTGTGGACTTGTATTTAACAACAGTGCCTAATCACGTGAGGAAGCTACTATCCCCAACTCATCCATTGTACCGTGTTGGCACAACTGTTTGAGGTGCTGCACTCACAAGCAAACACTTTAATTCCCCACTATAACTCAGCCAGTTCAGTTCCCCGTATCAGTATGTCACATGTCCAGATGTGCTACCACACTGCAAGGGCAGACAGAACAGTGGAAGTGTTTCCATCATGGGATGTACTCACAYAACGGGTATCTCAACAGAAGTCAACATTCAAAGGTTTTTACAGAAACTRAACAGCTCACTATTTTCAGACTGGTCACTCAGACTGACTCACCACTAGCCAGTATCTCACTAGGAAATTTTACCACAGAATTCAAGAAGATCAGGTTCATATCTTCTGATCAGGTTCAGAGCTTCAGATATAATTCCTGCCATTCAAGTAGCTGAATAACATAAATTTCTTCAAATGAATTTAAGGTACTTTTGGAAGTAAAAATTGATCACCTTTAATCCATATCATTCCATATTCAAATATGGATTGGGATTATCACAAGAAAGAAAAATGTGCTCTCACTAACCCAGCAAATGAGGAAGTTTCACGAGAACTGCTGTTGAGCAGCAAGCCTCATAATGTTTCCATTACAGCTGCAAACAACAGATATTGTAACTGCATATTCCACTGGCGGAATTGTCCTTACATTTTGCTCTCCTGTTTCAAGCACAAGTTTCAAAACTGCCTAAGACATGACAGAACACACACTAACACAGTAACATTCTTAGGAAAGTTTTAGTTCAATATAAGCACAGTTTTACCACTATTTCTTTGTATTTCATTTTTAGTTCAGCCAAACGATTCCGCTATATTTCTACAAAAACATTTGCTATRGGAGCAAAAATTGATATGATTTTTCCTTACCATTAGTTTCTGCAAATTTCTGAACATCGGCCAAAGTTTTTAGTTCTTTCCTTGGGCAGGCTGWCACACACAGAGCAAGAGACTTGATCTTCCGATGTACTAAATCAACATTGCATGGATCCAGGAAGAACACATACCTAGAGAAGAAAACAGGTGACTTTTTTATTTCAGTGAACAGTCATGCATTCATGAATTCAACATAAAAATTACAAAGATACTGCTATTTACAGATATTTCGATATTTTACCAGTCTACTGATAACCTGTTAACTCTACTCAAACGGTACTGTTTATGAAACAGTAGCRCTTAATAGATGCAGGTTTTAACATTTTAACAAAAAGGAGGCTTCACTCCAACTATAAACTTAGCTTCAAGATCTCCAACTTTTTTTTCTAAAAAAGACACAACATAAAAACGTGTAATTTTATATTTACATTATAAAAAGCAAAATAGAAAAGTGTTTTTCTAATACCTCATAATTCTTTTTATGACAGTAAACATYATGAAAATGTATCAAATAAAATCTTTTAAAAGCCCTATACAGTCCTACCAAATCCTATACRGTACAGTCCTACCAAAACAGGTAACTTTTAATTCAAAATAAATACCAAAATGATCTACTGAATAATATGGGACAGTGATACAAAAAATCAGTTTCTGAAACAAACAAAAGAAGTATGCATTACAACCTCTCAGAATACAAACTTGTATAGCTATAATCATCTCTTCACAAACACTAGCTACAGTATTTTCCATTCATGATAAGATATAGATAGGGAATCTTTTATTTTCTGAATGCTAAAAAAAAAAAATCATATTTTCATGGTAGGATCTGCATTAAAATATTTTCTTTATATTATGTAACATCATGATGGGAAAACAAAAGAGTAATTTATTTGTGGATCAAATAAAATGGTATTTTTGTTATTTTAATAATCTTTATGTAATCAATAATCTTCTATAATCAATAAAAATGCTTTTTGATCCCAGAAAACTTATTTCAAGTTACAATAAAGTTACACAGCATTAAGTATACTAACAGAAATATTGCAGTCGCTGCAACTCTTACATTTTATTGCTAGAACAGCAATAAAAATAAAATACAGTATTCCAAGAGATTAATACTTTATTTAGTTCCTTATATTGAAACTTTCAGGAAGAATCTCCTGCTATGACAAAAAAACGTAATAAGGAAACAAAAGCAATGCCCCCCAAATGTTTAATACTGGACACTTCAGAGGTAACATTTTTAAGGCCACCTTTATAACAGTRCTCCACAGAGAATGCAAGAATGTCAAACCATAAATCTGTTTTAAACAACCAGAACAAACCTTGCTCAAAAATCACAGCACTAAAACACATATATCACTCAACTTGGCCACATGCATAAAGGTTAGCATTTTCTTTCCGCCCAGATATTTTCTGCTATGTGGTAATTACAATCTAAACTGCCCCTACAGAAAATCTGCTCTATTATCCAATCTCAGTCCTCAAGAATTATTACTATTTAACACAATTACTCATTTTTTAGCCTTCAAGTGATCTTACTTCCTCCATTCCTTGGACGGGGTCAACTCCCACCAACTCCAAACGCTGTGCTCTCTATATTAACTACAATACAGCAACAAATCGAAGTAACATTCACAAAAYATTTTCTATGGACAAAATATTGCCAATATCTTTAGGAAGTTTATCCTGCACCATTTCTCAAGGTGTTTTGTTTTTTTACATAACAGGTAGTACTAAGCACCAGAATAATGTGCAAACAATACAAAGCCAGGAAGTAAACACAAAGTGAAGATGATTATCCTTCAGACTTAGTCAAGGTAACCATGTTAGTAACATGCCATTAATTCCACATTTTCTTCAAAGAATAYGCCTTTGCACTGATACTAATCTATACAATATAATACTAGTGATGACTAYACAGTTTTGTCATAGGTTTGTCTTTGTGGAAGCAAATTCATATAGATGTGACTTCATATCATAGATCGAAGCCTAGGGAAACCAGTGTAAGATTTGGCCTTAGACAAGTTAGATGCCAAAACATCCTCTAAAACATGGCATGATGGAAATTATTTGAGGTAAAAATAACTGCATGCAATTTTGAATATGCCAATTTTCCCTAGCTGTAATAAATATCTGAAATGCTAAGCTTACATTTAATTTCAAGCCAATTCCTAAACTTATATAGAAAGGAGGAAAGAGTTTAATTTTCCACAAGTCAAGGTATCAGAGAATAAGGTTAGGAGCAAGTTACCCATCCTAAGGCATGTAATTCAAAATAGACTTTCCAAAATGTAAAATAAGATTTTTTCTTTTTACAGATAACTCATAGGACTTTCCTTACACTTAACCTCTGTTTTAAGTTTATATTTCAAAATGTTACTTTAAAAAATAAATTCTTAAAAAAAAGAAAACATGCACATTTCCACAGAATTTAMAATACAATTTTAATATAAGCAGAAGTTTTTTTTTAAAAAAGGTTACTACTCTTGCCCAGTAGCTTATTGAACAAGCTACTGCCTATGAGATATACCTCTGCAAGAACAGGAAGCCAAAGCACTCTTTCTTCTCCACATACCCTTGATTCTAAAACATGAACAGTAAGTCTAAGCAACTATGGCAACTTACTAGATGTACAACTCTATCTTGTCTTCAACTATTCTGTAAATTCTTATATTTGCAAAGCCATTGATTTCCTGTCAGCCCTCAAGGTATTTCTTCACAGTCAGATGAGCACAGAYGAGCAAAACAATCATTCACTGTGATCTGCAGCCATCTTATTGAAATAATGGAGAGGTGAATTTAATGAGGTGAATTTAATACAGTCTATACCAATTATGCATTGGGCATGAAGACACTGACTCATCCAGCTTCTCTGCATGAATGCTGTAAACTCCTCCCGAGTTTTCCTGGTACCTGAAATCAAGCCATCTGAGTAATAAAATCATTAGGGCTGAATGCTACTCTAACCCTTCTCTACAGTGGTATGTACATGTCTTTCTGTACTTGAAGGAGCAGTACAGAATGATTTCTGTCCAAGTAGCAAAATACTACTGATCAAAATCCAGACTAAACTGTCRTTCATGAACTTGTATTTGTCTGCTGCAGTCGTTGTTTTTATTTGCAAAATACTCCATCATGTCAAAGGCCATTTTTAACCCCTTGTGCTGCCAAAACTTCAAAAGCAATCTGTCTACTCAAAGCAGATAGGTTTAAGAAAATAGACTAAGATAGGCCACAGATAGACTACGGTCTTAGTTTCTGTTCTAAAGAGTGTTTCATTAGCTACATAGAAACAGAGTTGATTAAATTCTTTTTGATGAGATTATATTCTAAAAAACTCCTCCCAACAAAGAGTCTTACTAGTTTCAGCACAGCTCATGTACACTCATGAAATCATGCCATTTGCTCCTCACCTTCCCACCCAGATTTACCACATCTACTAAGATCATGCCACTTTCACTTCCTTATTGTTACAGATGACTTAATTTTATGCCTTTGTCTGRGAAATTAGTTATCCTGAAAGCAGAATAGAAGAAAAATAACTTCAGCCTTATAGAAATGCATTTTTAGAGGATAAGACCTCTTTTTCTTCTACAAGATCTGAAAGAATGCCAGTAATTTTTTTTTTTCAGACTGACTGAAAAGAGTAAAAGTAGTCTTAAAAACCATGAAATAGTTCCATGAACTGCCTCTCAGACTCTACAGGAAAATCATCTGCTACATGTAGAGAGATGCTAGCACCCAGAACTTCCTCTGAAAAAAAAAAATCCGGACAAACTTAAAACCCCAGGGTGTGTAAGACTGGGGAGGATCACATGCTTTGCATAAGAAATGTTCTCTGTCAGAGCTGACAGAGAAAGCAGACACTTCTGTGAACTGCAGCAGACACTTCACTGTGAACACTTATACAAAATAAAATGCCTTTGTAGAAGGCTTCCTCTTGCTCTCAGGCCAAGAGAAGAGCATATCCATTTATTTGCTCAAACCATGTCTCAAAGCAAGGTATCTTTATTAGAAAAATACAATCCCTTGAAACCTTCCTAAGACTTTGGCTGAACAGTATCTTCTGGCAACAAGTTCTATGTTAAGTGTTAAAGACATTCTCTCTTTTTTTTTCCTGTGGCATGTCAATCATGCCCTTACAAAGCAATAACCTTTTGCAATCCTTCACATATCCTCATGATAGCCTGATTTTGGTCATATGGATACTCAGGAGTTTAAAGGAGCCACTGTCCTACTACTACACTAAATGCCTGAATGAGGTGCCGTGAGTTTCTTGGTTACTTCTCAGAATCTTTCATCTACACACACACACATGCTCAGTATAGCATATCACATTTTTTCCACACCATTGRTAAGGAATAGCTATGCTAGTTTAGACCTATAAGAGTTTACAGGAGCTGAGCACTGCCTTTAAGTTGTGTTTTCTTTATATAGCCTTTATATAGCCATCTGTACATGGACAGTTGAAGTTTTAAAGTCTCATCTTAATATGTTGAGTGTAACCCAGCTAACTGTAACTAGTAGCCTGCTAAAATCGGTGGAAGTAAGGGAGCATAAATCAAAGAATCACAGAATGTTTAAGGTTGGAAGGGACCTTTAGAGATCACCTAATCCAACTCCCTGCTCCAGCAGGGACACCCGGAGCACGGGGCACAGGGCGGCATCCAGGCRGGTTKGGAAGATCTCCAGAGAAGGAGACTCCACAGCCTCCCTGGGCAGCCTGTGCCAGGGCTCGGGCACCCTCACAGCCAAGAAGTTCTTCCTCACATGGAGATGGAACTGCCTGGGTTTCAACTGGTACCCACTGCCCCTTGTCCTGTCACTGGCCACCACTGAGAAAATCTTGGCCCCTTTCTCCCTACATTCTCCCTTCATGTACTTAGACATGTTGATCAGATCCCCTCTCAGCCTTCTCTTCTCCAGGCTAAACAGGCCCAACTCACTCAGTCTCTCCTCATATGAGGGATGCTCCAGCCCCTTAATCATCTTTCTTGCTCTCCGCTGGCCCCTCTCTGGAAGCTCCACGTCCCTCTTGTCCTGGGGAGCCCAGAGCTGCCCCCARTGCTCCAGGTTTGGCCTCCCCAGAGCTGAGCAGAGGGGCAGGATCCCCTCCCTGCCCTGCTGACAACATCCTCCTCATGCAGCCAGGAGCCCATT